TAAGCATCCCAGAGCGATAAAATGCATATCCAGTTTACTCATTACTTACCTTAAAGTATTTGTAGTCTTAATCTAGGGTGAGATGAGTAGTATTTATTGTAAGAAATCAAATGTGGTATGTATGGTAGTCAGCCGGGCTACCTTACCAGGCCATTCCACCCACACATATATTCTATGATATTTAAGCATCCGAGAGCGATAAAATGCATATACAGTTCACTCATTACTTACCTTAAAATATTTGTAGTCTTAATGTAGGGTCACAGGTGAGTAAATGAGATAAAACGAATAAATGAGAGAGAGAGAGAGAGAATGAGTACATGAGAGAGGACAGGCGCAGAGTTATGTAAACAAACCAGGCGAACGTAAGTTTTGTAAACAAACAAAGTGTACATGTCTGGTTTGTGTACAAGTTACATTGTGTACAAATTGTCTCTACATTGATACAGTAGAATAAATAAAGAAGAACACTCCCATTCTCAAGTAACACCAGTTTTAGAAGAAATGGCGCTCTGAGTGAAGGCAATGGAAATAAGTCACTCTGACTTTTTTGGGTTATCCTAGGTTCTCTACACATATGCTGCTATGTATGATAATCTTTGTAACTGTATTTGTGTATACCTGAATAAACTTACATACGAAAGGAATAATTTTCTGCAGTTACCCCCTGTAACACATTTTCTCTTATGTTAGACTAGAGAAAATGTTATTTTTGCCGTTACTTGTACAAGTTATCTGGCTACCACATCTCATATTTATGTTTATTTGTTCTATTGTGGGGTGTATTTATCATTTTTATATGTTATGTATCGTGTTTATTATATAATTTTGAAAAAATATCATAGATGGATTAATGAAAATAAGTATATTAATGTAATATACGACATTTAATGAGACTCGATGATTATTATCATCATTACTAATATGACATCTGGAGACATAAGACACTCTTACTGATTTTAATGTGTACCTGCGCGCCGGCACAGTATGTAAGTTTATTTAGGTACAGGTATACATAAGTATAATTATCAGAGTATATATAAAATATGAAATAACTTTTAACCCTTTGACTGTTTCCGACGTATAAATACGTCTTACGAGCCAATGTTTCTGACGTATTTAATACGCATAAATTCTAGCAGCTTCAAATCAAGCAGGAGAAAGCTGGTAGGCCCACATGTGAGAGAATGGGTCTCCATGGTCAGTGTGCACCATATAAAAAAAATCGGGGAGCCAGTGTTGCATTGTGGGAATGCCATTTCAGTTGTCCTTTTTCAGCATGTCTAGCGGTAAGAAATATGTGATTCCCCAGCAAATCTGGGACTCTTCTCTTCCCAAGTGATGCTCTAACACAGATGGAAGTGTCAGTGAAGATCAATTTCATGATTTGGAGGAGTTTGAGACCAAAAGCAATGGAGGAAGAGGAGGAGGAGGAGGAGAAGAGGAGGAGGAGGAGGAGGAGGAGGAAGAAGAAGAAGAAGATGTAATAATATTGTTCCCTTGAAGCAAGAAAAAAAAAAATCCACCCCATGACAGTGACAAGATAAGGGGAGATAACATCTGATAAGAGCTGACTTTGATGAGCGTAAACGAGGGTAGAGCTGATAAGGAAATATTACATGACCATCGCCCTCCCTTTGTTTTTGCTGGTACACAAACATTTCTGTCTGTCTATTTGTCTGTCTGTCAAGCTCCCTGTCTGTCCATCTAGCTCTCTGTCTCAGAGAGAGCCACAAGACTGTGTCATCACGTTTACTCACATCTTCAAGCAGAGTATAGCACTTTGTCTGGATTTCTTGGGTTATCCTAGGTAATTTACACTATGTATACTTGTATTTATGTGTACCTGTGAGACAGAGATAGGCAGACAGATAGAAAGAGAGACAGATTGAAAGATATAGAATGAGGGAGAAAGATAATTAGATAGAATGGAGGAGGGGAAGCAGCATCCGACCCCATTGTTTTGACAGGCGGGAGGGGAAGTGAGTAATGAGACAATATGTCACTTTGACAGCTGCTGACTTCTGACTCAAAACAATTATAAGCCACACACTCGCACACAAGACGAGGAGGAGGAGGAGGATTATGATTATGATGATTATTATGATGATGATTATTATGATGATGATTATGATGATGATTATGATGATCATGATTATGATGATGATGATTATGATTATGATGATTATTATGATGATTATGATTATGATTATGATGATGATGATGTTTGTTTGTTTTTGTAAACAATACGTATATTGATAATTATGTTTGTGTGCTTATTGTGTTGTATACAACGAGTGTATATATGTACATTGCACCTTACTTTGGTCTCACAGACCACATAAGTTATGTGAAAAAATAAAATAGTGAAAAAAAAACAAAAAAACCTTCAATTACAAGTACAGTAAAACTAAAGTTTACCGGGTGAGCGGCAGTCGCCGCTGTTACCATACGCGGCTCATTTTCTGCAAACTTCACGGCTCTATATCTCGGTAAGTACCGATGGCAAAAATTTTTTTTTTGGACTAAAACACTCAGAAAAATAATCTTAACATTTTCATAAGAAAAAATATTTTTTTTTTTTTTTTTTTTTTGAATATTTGGCGACATAGAATGAGTTTCAGAGAGGGGCCTGAAACAGTCAAAGGGTTAAAAACACTTGAAATTTTGTTGTTTCCAGACATAATGGAGAGACTTAGTGCTTGGATCTCACAGAGAATGTAAACAAACCGGGTGGGGCGCGGTGACCGTATTAGAAAGTCGGGTGGGGGGAGCTGTATAGCGAGTTTTGGTCATAATTTGAAATGACCATATTAGCGGAATGCCGTAAAGCAAAATGCCGTAATGTGGGGCCCTACTGTATTGCAGTAGTCAGCATAACAGTAAATCTTCTATTTTTTGTTTAAATAAAAATTCAAAATAGAAAGGAAGAGGAATATCAGAGGGGCCTAGAGATGTGACTGATGAACAAAGAAAATTTTATTTTAGAGCCAGGAATGTCTGCATTGTTCATGCTGGACCTTATTTTGAAATGGTCATATTTTTTAATTTTCGTGAAATTGGCCAAATTGCAAATTTCTGACCACGTTATTGGGTAGTTGAAATTGGTAAATGGGCAGTTTCTTGTACTCATTCGATAGAAAAAAAACAAAGTTCTAAAGAAATAGCTGTGTTTGGTCGACAGGAACAATGGAATTAGCTGAAAATAGGGCTCAAAGTGGGCGAAATCGCCAATTTGTAAATATCGCCGAGGTCGCTAACTTTGTGAGAGTGTAATTCTGTTAGTTTTCCATCAAATTTCATTTTTTTGGTGTCATTACAATTGAGAAAAGACTATCATTTCATAAGTTTTTTTTTTTGTGACACCAGGAGACAACTCAGGATTGGGGGTTGCAACAGTCAAGGGATTAAAGCTCCTATATTGGAAGAGTATCTTAGGCAAACTTAGGGCTAACTTAAGATTTATTAGGCAATAGCTATATTAGGAATTTTATGTTTACAGTCATTTGGGTGAGTGTCAGTGTAAATTAGGGGGAATTACAGATAACAAGAGTAAGTCTGTCTCTCTCTCTCTCTCTCTTTTTTTTTTTTTTTTTTGTTTTTTTTTTTTTTTTTTTTTGTTTGTTTTTTTTTGTGGATGTGTTCATGATACAAAACAAGAGAATAGGTGGTTTTCACATAGCTGATAATGGGAGAGATGTTTTTTAATTGTAGTTTTGAAAATAGTGATTGAGTCTACAGGGAGTTCCGTATTTTATGCCCTTTTATGTACATCAGATTCATGTAGAGATTTAGCTAGACATGAGGAATGTCATAAAGACTTTTGTGTCTAGTATTGTGTCTATGGGTCCTGTTGCAACTCTCAAGAAAGTGTTTTAGTTCAAGGTTAATATTAGAATTAATGGTTCTGTAAATATAGGTAACACAGGAGTAGGTGTGAATGTTTTGTACAGTGAGTAAGTTTAGATCTTTGAAGAGTGGGGGGGGGGGAGTGTTGTCTAGCATTGGATAATTCTTACTGCAACTTTTTGTTGGTTTATTATTGGCTTTAGGTGGGTTGCTGCTGTTGATCCCTAGGCACAAATAGCATAGTTGAGGAAGGAATAGATGAGTGAATAGTATAGTGTGAGTAGGGCTGATCGTGGTGCATAGTAACATATCTTGGAGAGGATCCCAACTGTTTTGGATATTTTTTTTGTCATGTGTTGGATATGGGTGTTGAATTTCAGGTTGCTGTCATGGTGCAGGTCCAGGAATTTGCCCTCATTATGTTTAGCAATAAGAGTGTTGTCAATCATACTGTTCAGCTGGTCATCAGCTGTTCTGCTCCCAAACATAATGTAGAAGGTTTTGTCAATATTAAGTGTAAGTTTATTAGCAGTCAGCCAGGTCGGTATTTTTACTAGCTCTTCGTTAACAGTAGCGTTGAGTGAGGCAAGATTAGGGTGGGAGATGATGTAAGTCATGTTGAAATACATTAGGAAGATCATTGATGCATAGGAGGAAGAGCAGGGGACCAAGGATACTTCCCTGTGGTACTCCAGTATCCATTGGTTTCACTGATGAGGTTGTGTCCTTAATAGAGATGTATTGATGTCTGTTAGTAAGGTAGGATTTGAAATATGTAAGTGCATGGCCTCTTATACCATAATAGCATTCTTTGTCATTATTTTCATTTTCCTAGAGGTGGGAAGTTCATTGCTTGCACTTTGAAGGAGGGATATTGGCTGTTTGGAATGAGATCTAAACTGTTGTATCTGAGCACTTCTGCAAAGACAGTAATTTTGTGTGTATGATTGTATTAGTGCTGAATAATGATGCATGTGTTTGTTTTTTGGGTCACCCTTCCTTGGTGATAGACAGCCAACTTGTTAAAAAAAAAAGAAGATTAATTGTGAAGGATGTTCATAACCTTATTTTTATTCTTTATTAGCACTAAAATTGTAATATTTTGTGAAAATATTTTTTATCTGTTTCTCTAATTGGAATATTATCAACAGGGTCATTGGGACGGCAGATGATAGAGGTTGACGAGGCAGAAGTGCTTGGTGTGCTTGTGAAAGGCCTAAAGGAGATAAAAGGCAAAAACTGTCATAGTATTCCTCGCTTACCACTTTTGCTGGCCCTCTCAGACTATCTTAATAAGTACTTTGAGTGCACATCTGAAGCATTTCCTCCCCATCAGTAAGTAATGTACTCTGAAGGTTGATTACAAAATAGTGAATATCCAGTTGATTTAACTCTGTTGACTATATATTCTTGATAAAGATCACTGACCTCAGTATGCTGAGGTCAGTGGTCATGTGTGGTCATACCTGTCCTAAGCTGTCTGGGATTAGCATGGGGTGTTACCTAGCTCCATGGCTTGTTGTAGTGTTTTAAAATCTCAGGTTAAAGTGTTGAAGAAGAAGATTCTACTTCTTCAGGGGGAAAATAGGAGGATGAAGCTTTGTCTAGATGGGTTTGAGAGTGTGTGGGGGATGGTGGTAGCTGGTGAGGAGGAAAAAGCTACCAGCAGTGATTTGGAGAGTGACAGCTGCTTTAAGTTTCAAGTGATTCACAATTCAGGAAAAAGGATGATAAAGAAGGTTAATAGAGAAGACATGAAGGTAAGAAATCGATTCTCTGTTCTCCAGGACGAGTGTACTTCAGTGGTTAGATTCTCAGGTAAGATATATGGACCTTGCTTATTGTAACAGAGATAGAAAAGTCAAACAGAGGGTGTGTCTCCCAGAAGCTGGTGTTGGTGACATAGTCAGCAGGTTGGATAATATTATGTCAGGCAATGGGAACAAGCTCATTATCTGTCTTAGTGCTGGTGGAAATGACACTGGGAAAGGCAGGAGACAGGAGCTGCTGGATAAGTATAGGTCAGCCATAGTTGTAGTCAGGTCTAAGGAAGGGATCCCAATCATATGGAGCATCTTGCCTAGAAGGAAAGTGGGCAATATATGGATGTCTAGGGCAGTTGGTATAAATTGCAGGCTAGACAAGTACTGCAAGGAACTTGCAGTCCCATTCATTGATAACTGGGACATATTCTATGGCAAGCATGATACGTATGCAAGGGATGGGGTTCATCTCTCTGGGGCTGGAGTGGTTGCATTAGCCAATTCAATTGAAAGGGTCATTGATGACTTCTCTAGGACTTTAAACTGATAGATTATAGAGGTATGGGTGTCTGTGGGAAACAATCACACCGCAGTACTAGGGTTGAAAAGAGCAGATATAACCAGGATACCTCAGGGTTGTATTAAAAAGACAATATTCAAAATAAAGTTGCTAGTAAAGGCAAATCAATTGATCAACAAACAGAGAGAGAGAGTAGAGGGCAACGAGTGACTAGCTCCCTTAAGGTTTACTATACAAATAGTAGGAGTCTAAGAAATAAGATAGATGAGCTAAGATTACTTGAAAGTGCAGGTAATATAGATATTATTGCTATAACAGAAACCTGGTTCAACTTGAAAGATAGAGAAATGCCTTCTGAATGCAACATACAGGGTTATAAACTATTCCATACTGATTAGGTCAACAGGAAGGCTGGTGGAGTGGCAATGTATGTCAGAGATAATTTAAATTGTTGTGTTAGACAAGATATAAGATTAGAAACATCGGACACAGAGTCTTTTTGGCTACAGTTTCTCGATAGAGAGTGCAGTAAGCTGCTATGGGACGAAATTCATAAGGCATCTAGATATGAAAATGTTGTGTTAATGGGAGATTTTAACTTTAGACAAATTGATTGGAACAGTGTGACAGGAAATCTTGAGTCTAGTGACTTTCTTGATATGGTTCAGGATTGTTTTTTAAAACAGTTTGTGACAGAACCAACTAGACGAAACAATCTATTTGACTTGGTTCTTGCCAACAAAGAATCACTAGTTAACCCTTTGAAGGTCGACAGGCCCTCTTAGAAACTCGTTCTCAGGGTCAGCCAAATTTAAAAAAAAAAAAAAAAAAAAAAATTCTTAAGAAAAGATAGAGAATCTTTTCCCGATCATAATGACACCAAAATTATGAGATTTGATGGAAAACTTACGGAATTATGCTCTCGTGAAGTTAGCGGTCTCGGCGATGTTTACGCATCGGCGATTTTGCCCACTTTGAGCCCCATTTTCGGCTAATTCCACTGTACTAGTCGACAAAAAACATGAATATTTCGCTAGAACTACATTTTTTCTATTGAATGAGTGCAAGAAAGCACCCATTTACCATTTTCAACTATCCAGTACAGTGGTCAGAATTTAGCAATTTTGCCAGTTTCACACAAATTCAAAAAATGCCAATTTCCGAATAGGGTTCAGAACAAGCAAGAAATATATTCCTGGCAATAAAATGACATTTCCTCTGTTCATTAGTCACGTCTCAAGGCCCCTCTTACATTCTTTTGCTTTCCACTTTGAATTTTTATTCTCACGAAAAATAGAAGATTTACTGTTATGCAGATTACTGCATTAGTGTAAAAAATTGTATAAATCATATTGGCGCACTTGCAAAAGAATGTTAGACTCACCAGTTGACATGTATTGGACGCTTGGCATGATTTGTTTACTTTTGAACTTTGGTAAAAATCGAACATTTCCGCTACTTTGAGCTCAATTTCAAGGTACTTTTCATTGTAAAACCAGTCAAAATCACCTCTATTTCTGTGATATGCCTTCCATTCTATAAAATGAGACCAAGAAAACTAGTATACAACAATAAATACCATACGAAAATACAGTGCAAAGTTGCTGTTTTATGCCAAAAAAACGGTCAAAGTTTTTTTTTTCTCATTATGCACTGTGTGCTGCAGGATTTTTTTTATACTGTGCACACTGACCACATAGACCCATTCTTTCATAAGGAGGCCTACCAGCCTTTTCCTGAGAGATTTGACGGCGCTAGAATTTATGCGTACTAGTACGTCAAAAACCCCTGCGCGTAAGACGTACTAGTACGGCCGAAACCCTTAAAGGGTAATCTTGTATTTATTGATGAGCTAGGGAAAAGTGATCACAAATCACTTAGTTTCAATAAATCATGGCGTTACCTGGATAACTGCAATCAAATCTCTGTCCCAGACTTTTGCTTGGCTGACTTCATGGGACTGAAAAATTACCTGGGTGGGCTAAATTGGGATATCCTGATGATGGGTCAGGTAGATGGTCTTGGTTGCCAGTATGACATTTTTCAGAGCATAGTTCTAGCTCCCCAGACAACTTTTGTTCCAAGTAGGGAAATTAGATCTAACAAAAATGATCCCAAATAGATGAACAATAGATTAAAACATCTCATTGGTCAAAAGAGAGGCTTATACATGTATAGGCATATCAAAAGAGGGGAGGGGCAGTTAAGAAATCAGTATATTCAATTAAAGAGAGATATAAAAAAAGGAATAAGAAAAGCAAAAAGGGATTATGAGGCTAAGGTCACGAGGGATTCGAAGACTAACCCAAAAGGGTTCTTTCAGGTATACAGAAGTAAGATTAGGGACAAGACAGGCCCACTTTAGAATAACTCAGGTCAGATCACTGACAGTGATAAGGATATGTGTGAAATTTTTAATTCTTGCTTTCTCTCAGTTTTTACTCAGGAAGATACTAGCGAAATTCCAGAAATAATAGATTATGTAGAACAGGACGATAATAAACTATGCATGATTGCGGTAACTAGCGACATGTTCCTCAGACAAATAGAGAAATTAAAAGCTAACAAATCCTTAGGCCCAGATGAACTGTTTGCAAGGGTGTTAAAGGAATGTAAAGAGGAACTTAGCATACCTTTGGCTAATCTTTTCAACATATCAGTACAAACTGGCATAGTGCCTGACAAGTGGAAAATGGCAAATGTAATACCTATTTACAAGGCAGGTGACAAGTCCTTGGCTTTGAACTGTAGACCAATAAGCCTTACCTCCATAGTGGGAAACTTTATGGAATCAATAATTGCCGAAGCAATTCGTAGTCATCTCAAAAGGCACAAATTGATTACTGAATCTCATCACAGTTTTACAAAGAGGTGTTCCTGTCATGAATTTACTAACTTTCTTCACTAAGATACTTGAGGAGGTAGATCATGGTATTGATTATGATATTGTGTATATGGACTTCAGTAAGGCTTTTGATAGAGTTCCACATCAGAGGATATTGAGGAAACTTAACCCCTTGAGGGTCCATGCCGTAGATCTACGGCTTTACATTGAAGGTCCAAACCGTAGATCTACGTCATTAGCTCAGCTCACTCTGATAAGCTTTAAGCAGTAAATTTTGGCCTTGATATGAGAGAATACATTTATGTGGTATGTATGCACCACATAAAACAAATCCTGCAGCACATAGTGTATAATTAGAGAAAAAACTGAGACCGTATTTTTTTATTAAAACAGCGACTTTGCAGTGTTTTTTCATGTTTTTTATAGTTGTATTTGCGATTTATTGGTCTCATTTGATAGAATGGAAGATATATTACAGAAATAAAGATGATTTTGATTGGTGTAAATGGCTTAAAACTGAGCTCAAAGTAGCAGAAATGTTAAATTTTTGCCGATATTCAAGAGTAAACAAGTGACCTCACACGTCTAATACATGCCAGCTAGTGGGTCTAATATATGTTCTCAAATGTGCTGATATTATTTATACAATTATTACAATATTGCATAACAGTAAATCTTCTGTTTTTTGGTTTGAATAAAAATTCATTATGTGAATAAAAAATCAAAATGGAATTCATTAGTAAAGCCTGAAACCATAACTAATGAACAGAGGAAATGTTAGTTTAGTGCCAGGAATGCCTGCATTGTATATTCTGGATCCTATTTTGAAATTGGAGTATTTTGAACTTTGCATTAAATGGGCCAAATTACCAATTTCTGATCACTATTTTGTAGTTCAAACAGTTGACTTGGCGAATTCTTGTGCCCAATTGATAGAATAGAAGTAATACTAGTAAAATAGCTAAGAATTTGGTCGACTGGAATAATGTAACTGGCCTAAATTGGGAGTCAAAGTCGGCAAAATCGCCGATGCATAAATATCGTTGACACATCAAAATTTGCGAGAGCATAATTTCGTCAATTTTCCGTCAAATTTCGTACGTTTTGTATTATTACCTTAAGAAAAAGATTACCAATTCATAGGGAAAAATAACTAAGTTATTTTTTGAAAATTCTTGGACACTGGTGCACCCTTTGAAATTTGGCCTCTG